TGTTCGTCCAGTTGCAAGTCTATACATTTATTGCCGAATGTCTTGAGGCTCAGCCAGCACCTAATATGCTTCTGCCTTTTGAAGCCATTACCTTCTTTCTTCAAGGATGGCCTGGCAGGGGTTGGCCCTCCACGTTTCACAATGTCCAATTTATCCTGAAAGTCTCTCCTGGCGAACGGAAGCCTCAGTAAATCCTCAACAATATAAACCGTTGTCACACATCTGATAAAAGTCAGTCACACACAAAAGGAAACTCAGGAAGGAAAATTCTCAATAAATAGAGCGAAGTAAGCTTAGTCGGTGAACTGAACTTTTTTTTATGAATGTCCTTTATTTACAAGACGTGCCCTTTACAAAAGGGTAGAGTGAGGTGAGGTTGAATATACAGTAAAGTAGCGGTACTCAAACTTTTTGAGCTGGGGGTTGCATACGGATGTGACCAACCTTGCGCGGGCCGCACTTAAAAGAAAAATACTAGTAAGGATGAAAGGAAATCCAGTCAACCCAAATATCACTCATGCAATGGTATTTATTAGGAAAACAAAGACTTACATGCGGCCCGCGGGCCGCAGTTTGAGTACTGCTGCATTAAAGAGAAAAGAGAAAGATTATGGAGTTGGACGAGGCGATGGTAATTGCACGCGGGCCGTTGTGGAAAGGCAAGGAGATCTTGGGGTTGAGTTGGTCCGCGGCCAGCCACCAGGTGGTGTTATCAGGCCAGGGGTCTCTAGGGGGAGTGAAGATTTATTTAGTTGACATGGTCATTGTACAGGGTGTTTCAAAAGTTGCGCAACCCTATATACAGCTGCTTTTTTTTTTTTTAGGAACTTGAACCGAGTATTGAGCAAATTCAGAATTGAGCGATTAATTTCTGAGTGATGTGTTTATAATGTTCAGCATTTACAGTTTATGTGAAAAATACGGGACCCACAATACCTAATGCAATAGCTGATGTGCATGTATTCCAGTCAAACATATAACAGCTCTTGTTTATATAGAGAGTTGTGCGACTTTTGAAACACCCTCTATAAGATGGTTTTGCTTTACATATAGCTCGTATATATTTTGGGGGTTTTGCTTGATTTTTGTGGGTTTTCCTTTATTGTTTTCTTATAAGAATTTTTCACATTTTATTCATTTATTTTTATATATTTATTTTCAATACCTGTTATGTTCAGCTGGAATATATGTCTGGAAAAGGCATTGGTTCATTTGCATCCTCATTCATGCTAGCATGCATTCATTTGCTTTCTTCAATTAAGAGGTAAGGGAGTGGCTTAGGTTTGGTAGGGCGGTTTGAGGCTGGTTGTCGGCTGGGAAGATGTTGGTTCATGGGTGGTTCCATGCTATTCGCAGTGGAACCTAGCCCTCAGGGCAAGGCCTCCGACCTGTGGGGTGGATAGTGGGACGATCAGATAGAGAGTAAGTGCATATTTACAAACTACTTAATTTACAAGCACATTTACAGATCCTGCTAGGGAGAGGAAGACCTGATGGTAAGGAGTGACAGAGGCTGGGGGGGGGGGGGCTAGTTTGCCCTGACCATCCTCCGTACGGCATGTTAAGTTGTACACAGGGTATATTCTTACTCTTTTACGCTTATTGAGACCTATTTTCTTATTAGACCTGATCAGACGGATGTCGACAGGGCCGTTTCGTGTCATCAAAATACTTGAGAGCATGGTTTTGAGGCGTACTGCGGGAGGGGTTCTATTTTTGATTGGTGGTAAATGGTAAACGTACTTAAGAGAAATCAGGGGAGTCTGAGGGCTGTTTCAACTCTCTATAGACTCAAAAAAGCAGTCAGAGCAGTTTACCCAGGCAGCATTGCCATAGGTGATTACTGGCGGTATGAATGTCTTGCTCTACTTGTTTCACACGCTGAGCACATTGCAGTCTACCGAATCCGCGCATGCTGCTGGAAGTCAGCAGGGGCGTGTCTTCTTTGCAAGCAGCTCTGCTAGCTCTGCTGAGACCTCCAGCATCCGATGACGTCATTTTAATGCTTAGCTGCTCAGTGTTCTCGTTCGCTATGTTCCGCTGGCAGCTGCTTGCCCAATAGTGACGTCAATCAATGACGTGGTCGTGCCTAGCCATCGCATCTTTTTCGTCAGCAGCGCTAGCGGCCGGAGAAAAAGTCACGCCCATGATTCCCCTAACTGAGCGTCTCACCAGTGGAGCTCCCACGTCTTGCTCCAAGTGTAAGGCAAGGAAAGCTGGACAGCGAGGTGCATGACTCTAGTCTCGTACCGGGTGCCATTTAATAATATGCTATAGTGCATCGCAGTGACTGTAGTCGAGCGCATGATTTAAATGAAACTCCATGAATTGGATGAAAACGAAGCAAATCAAATCAATACATAATATAGTGTATAGTTATGATCATTGGTAAACGCTAGGTTTTCTCGTCCAAACTGGTCATGCAGTGCATGACTTGCAAGGCATGACCGCCACTGGTTAAAAGTCATGGGTCTTTTTTTTTGTTCATCAGACCCTGTATATGCAAAACTGATTCTAGTCTGTATCAGATCAAATCACCTCCCCTTATTCAGAGAACCAAGGAAATTGGGCGCTCACATCCTTCTCGACTGAGGTAAATATAGTATATAAGGAAAAGCTCTGAGGGTGGTATCAAGTGAATTTTAGGATCAAGAACTCAAAGCGTTGTTAAGTGATGCGACAACATACGGTCTCGGCCCATAAAAGTACTTCCTGAATTGCTACAGGGTGAGCAATCTGTGACTACTCTAAACTTTGGATGATTGATTTTGCTTGGATTTGAACGTATAAGCTTATCTCTGCATAGCAAAGGGACGCAAGATGAAACAGTGAGGTTCATCAATACGTAAGGTTCTGTTTGGTTTAGGTTTTTTTTTTCTGGTCTTCATAGTTGTCGAATTACCTCGTTCCCGTGTCCTGGATTTCAGCATACATTCATTCATTTTTAATGCCGTCAATCCCAAATTAATGGGATCTTTGGCTCCATAAAGCACAGCGTGAATGGAAAAAGTGGAGGAGGTGGGGTACGGAAATGTTGGGACATCGTTCTCACGCATTTCAAGCAAGCGTCTTGCCCATCTTACTTTTGCTTCTTTTTTTTTTTGAAGTGGGCACGTGCCCCCTCTGTAAAAGTAGAGGAACGGAAATTTTTACATTCTTGTGTAGGCAAAGCGTATACTATAAATTACACTCCCACCCGTGCAAGGTGATGATTCATCTATTCCGATGCACGGAAACTGTGACGCATGCCATACCTGACATCTAGGGACATTTATTGAAGTGTCAGCCACGGTTGCGTCGCACTGCAGTTATGTGTCTGAACATCTGTTAGAATTCACTCATCCAGACCCTATTTGCGTATTCTCTCTCTCTCACACACACACATATATATATACACATACCTTTCATCAGTGTTTTAGGATTAACTTGCATCCTCGCTTACACGGGCTCCGTATTTCTCAATGGGCTCTACAATCGATTTGTGAAGTAGTTCCTTCGCTCTGAGAGGGATGTCGTTCTATGAAGTTGACTCATCGGTATGCTCCTTCGCAATTGATGGCGATTGCGATTACTAGGTGTCTCTCGAGTACCGTTGAGCAGCGCCTTGAAGGGAGGTAGTTGGGTTTAAGTAAATTCAATACATTTTACAGTATTTTTCACTTGAGTCCGACAGTCTTGGCTCGGACACTCGTTCGTGGGACATGCCTCATGCATGAGAGCCCGATATTAATCGGGCGCGTATATATGTAAACTAGCAGCCACAGGCCGCTACGCTGTCCGTCTAATGAGCGGACATTTGAAAATGTTTAAATAAAGGTATGAAGCAGTTTGGTTCAGACCAAACATTAACAATTTTGTAACATACCTCGAGAAGTTCGAAAGTGTTGCCGCCCAGCTAATTTCAATATCATCGAGACCACTCTTCACAAATAAATCACGAATGAAGGGAATGAATGGGAAAGACCATTTCAAATTCGAAAAGCGACAAATGAAAAATTATTTATTATTAAAAATTTTATGGCCTACCATATGGCATAGTTTTGAAGGCCTTGCATGATGAGTGGATGGCCGCGGATGACTAACAACCATCCACCACCTTTGGCCTCATTCAATTTTTATGGCCTAGAATGGCAGTGCCTTGTAGGTCTGGCGCTTTGGGCTGTGGCTGGCCTGGCCTATGGCATAGAATGGCGTAGCATCGTAGGCCCCGCGCGTTAGGAGTGAGAGCCACCACAACTTTCGATCGCTTTCAATTGAAGTATAGATTAGATTTGGTAGTCCCATTCATGAACTTAACGTGTTAGGCTGCTATACGTGGGCCAGGTGTCGTACCCTTGTTTTATTTTTCTGACCAGAGCCTAACAGCCATCGCCAGGACCAAGTTTTCAAAATCTCTATGTAGAAACGCACTTCTGGAAAACTTTTTCTTGCGGTGAAAACATTACTGGTAATGTGCCAGTACTACACCAACAGCGTTAACATTAACGTTTGAGCAGCAGTTAATCTCTAAGATCCAACTTTTCATAGTTCTTTGAAAGAAGCACAGACTTCTGGTTCAGACCAATGGAAGCTGGAGACTTTAGGCCAGCATACATAATTTCCTGGAACTTTCACAAAGTTATTAACTTCAGCTATATCTAGGCTGTCCACACTCTTCTCATATACAAAGCAAACCTTCCCATGCCTGTCTATTTCACCTCTTCCATGAGGCCCTGTTTCATATCCTTAACCATTGGACTGCCAATTGTGGGAGACTCAGTTGAAATGAATGAAAGAAAAAACTTAAATGAGCAAGGGAGGGTGCAGGCAGGTATCAAACCCACATTCAATGATGACGTCTGCCTTGTGAACGATTAGCCTGTCAGATGAAAGGAGGGGCAAGCAATTAGGATTTGAGGAGGATGGTAGCTATGGTGCCTTAGATATAACAGGATCCAGGGCAGTCCTGGATATACATAATGTTGTTTTCTTTTGGGCCAATTGATTTCTATACATATCTGATTGGCCTCAACACTAATGACTGGGAGGTTATATGGGTCATTGAAGAAAATTTTGAAAACTCAAAAAGATTTTGTACACATTACTGCTCTTATATAATACCTTCTCTTCCCTCTTTATTTACCTTTCAGCTCAACATGAGCATTAAGTCAATCAAACACTGTTTTTGGTCATGAAAATGATGAAATGGACAATCTAGATTTAGGTTGTGTTACAGCACTTTCTAAAAAATAAGCAAGCATTCACATGGCTGCAGGCCTTGAATAATTAATTCATAAAAANTTTCGGTTCGGGAGCAGGGTTCCTTCCCCCATGCCTAGATCGGTCTGGGTGGGACTGGCACCATTGTGACCATGGGAATGTATTCCCGATGGAGATCTACTCCCCCCTATGCAGGCGGGCTTTAATATGTATTCTATTATTATTATTATTATTATTCAAGTACGAAGTGGACTCATCTGCGTACACCAGCCCATGCAATGGGCATAAAACAGGATGCTTCGTATCTAAGGAATTTTTAATTGTAGTGGGATGGATTCCCCCATTGCCTAGATTGGTTTGGGTGGGACAGGCACCTTTGGTATTTCCTTTTCACTATCAATGCGCCTTGGTGGGAAGCAGGCCACTGCCCTACCAGGTAATCACTTAATAAGCCGTTCTTTATTAAACTAGGAAACTAGGACTCAACATTATATATATATATATTTAATGATACCTATTACACTAATTGCCATAATCAGACATGCCACCATAAGGTTTTGGGTATCTTCTTCTTTAGGCATTTTTTATGAATTAATTATTCAAGGCCTGCAGCCATGTGAATGCTTGCTTATTTTTTAGAAAGTGCTGTAACACAACCTAAATCTAGATTGTCCATTTCATCATTTTCATGACCAAAAACAGTGTTTGTAGCATCATAGGTGTGAGAGTGTAGTGCAATTGATTCAATGATCATCATCTTCTCCTTAGATTTGGTGTACAAAAACAAAGAAGCATATAATCTGTGAATCTGTTGTGATATTGTGACCAGTTAAGAGGTATTATGGAGTGGGCAGTGACCAACACTGCCAGTTTATATGCATTGTGCTCATCCCTGGGATCTCAGGAGGCAGGATTTTTCAAGATCTCACCAGAATGCTTGAAAACATTGCTTACAATTCAGATGAAGCTAGTCAGTGATGAGCATCCTGAATTCCCATTCCGGAGGGCATTAGGCAATGTTCAACTCATTGAAAAGGTGAGTGTCAGAAACAGAGAATATCAAACTACATGGAATTCTTAGTTTTCATATTTTAATTTAGACCTATTTAAGTGGAGGTAGTGCTTGTCATGGCGGTTGTTATATAATTTTAACCCATTCATAATAACCCTGGAGCTATTGAATTTCCTGCAATAGGCTGATCTGTTCTATACTCTATGAAGGAAAATGTCATGACAGGATGTAGGGTGAAGAGCTCTTCCTACTTTTTTGCAGGAACTTATTCCAATCCTCATACACTGCAAGAAGAGTGAAAGGGAAGTATTGCAGGCTGCAATCAAGTGAGTATTTCTGTGCTATGCATGGTAGACCCCTTGTGTCTTGGGTGAGACATGAATTTTTTGGAAAGTGAATATTTGTATGTACAAATGAGAATCTGAACTGATTCATTTGATCTATTCATGCTTGATTTGAGGAGCAAAATTTATTTTGGAATTTCTTAGTGTACTCTGGGCAAAGCATAATTCTGTGCTTAACATGTTGACAGACAATATGATCATAGCTGTTCCTCAATTTGGTTTCAAATGGACACAATGTGCATGGTACATGGTGTGTGGAGAATCTTTAGGGTGTAGGAAAAACTATTAGACATAAAAATATCATTTCAAGGACTTATGCATGCATGCAGCTTGTACTAACTGTGTGTATTTAAAAAAAAATCATTGTAACAGCTACAGCTGTCTTAATCCCATGGGAAGTTCTTCCATGTTCTTCCAGGAGTAAGAACGATTTATTGAATGGTAGTATGGTTTAAAGAACACAAATATACACATTTCTTTGGAAGTAATTATTCCATAATCAGCTTTATGCAATACTTGGTTGGTGAGACTTGACCAGCCTGAATCTGGTATAGTGTTCAGTATAGTATAACTAATTTCATTTATAATAGTAAGCATTACCTGTCTCAATAAATAGTAATTTTGTCCATGTAAAAAACTGTCCATTTTAACTGTGTATCACATGGTTGGTGTATTACAAGTCATTCAACTTCACAGCAATGCTCTCCATGTAAGCTGCCATGTTAACAGACATGTGGGGAAGAAAAATGTTCTGACATTTGTAAGCAGACACACTTTGATCCTTGCAAGTATGAAGTTAACAGCTTGCACCATTTTGCTCTCACAGGACCAAAACTCAACAATGGCTATAGCTGTTTTGCTTGTGTGGGACCAAAATCATGGAAATGGTCCAGGCTGCCAGTTCTTTTTGGGAAAAAAAAACAAACATCCAAGTGTCCATCAATGTGTTAATAACAAGGTTATGATGAACAATTTGGAATTGTATCTATTAACAAGCAAATTTCTGGCACTAGTATATCCAAAATATGTACATGTTGAGTTGCTTCCTGATGGTTGGATTGGATGAGAATTATGTTGTAAATAGTTATGCAAGTAAGAAATTTGAAGCATAGAAATACAGGAGAGTTGATATGGAGAGCAGTTGAGGGTTTCTTCCCACTTATGTTGTTCTGCTTACATTGATTTTGCTAGTGTGGTGGTACAACTGACAACTCCCATCGAGTGTTTGGTTTTAACCCCATCATGTCACAACGGCCCTGCTATCCTTGACCTGAGATGCCACCTTGGAGAGGCCAAGGAAGCATTTCTCAATCCCCAAGCTACTAAAGTCCTGGTCAACAATGTTCTCCCAAGTGTAAGAATTCTATTTATTTTTTTTTGAGGGTACTTGATCTGGAAATAATTCTTCATGAATAATCGATAGAGCCCATCCTCTCCTTATAAATTACACAGGTGATGAGCAAAGGAGGCACATATTCCTTAGACAACATTGGGATTGTTCAGGGAAGCCTGCTCTTGTTACGGAATCTCCTGCACATACCAGACTGGTTTGCACGTCTACGGCCAGTTTCCACACCTTGTCACAAGGGAGTAAGGGGCTCCTGTGAAATGCAGAATCAGCTCATGGCTACTCTTTTTGCTCAAGGACTGGACCAGAATCTCCTTACACTCATGGCTCATCCTCTCCTGGTTTGTCCTGTCTCCATCTTATTCCTGTGAAATCGTGTTTTTTCTTACATTCAATGCTAGTACAACTTTCAATCATATCATCTCACAATGTCTTTATGAAGCAGCACATACAATTTTGCATCATTTTGACTCTCTGTGGATGCCATTTCCTTTGTGACACTCTTTTCTCATTCATTGGTATTTGATAAGTATGAATCTGTTGTGCCTCTACTGGGTATACAAGCTTCCTAATTTTACTCTTCCCTACAGAACCATGAAATCAGACTTTTCTTTATTTCAAGTTATGATGCTATTACTGTTCTGTCAAATTTTCCCACTCATGTAAATAGAAAAAATTATTTGAGTGAGTCATCAAATTGTAAGAATTCTCACTCTTTGACAAAATGAAATAGATAATCACATATAGGCTTCATGTACACAAGTGTGTACATCAAATGTGATATGATACTTGGCATGCTGATATGAATGTATTGAAAGTGATGCATGAGTTTGTGTGAGTTTTGATACCGATATGATATCATGCGACATTTCAGAGGAAATAAGACATTTCATGACTGAAATTATTTTCCTTGTACTTATGAAAATTAGCTGCTGATACAGTGCAATCATGTGTACCTACAACTATATTGGCAGACTTATTATTGTTCAAGTAAGGAAGCTAGCTCCAGTAAATTCCCAGGAAGAATGGATGGCCAGGCTTGAAACCTAAGAGGAAAACATATTTTTCTTTAGGCATGTCACTTGCCATACAGTTGAAGTAGATAATATCCATAATACTTTTCAAATTATAAGTATTGCATATCCTTTTTTCAGCATTTTCATAAAATAAATTATTCTGCCTTGATAAAGCTGATGTAACCTTCATTTTTGTTCATGACCTTCAGATTATGAACTCATCCCAAATCCTGAATTAGAACTGTATATATGCTCTATTTCATGCTTCAGTGTCCACCTTTGGCTTTTGAAGTCACTTGTGTAATTGCTTTTTATTGCTTTCCATAAAAGAACTCTCTTTTGGTTTGCTCAGAGAAGTGGGATTTACATATTGAGGGTTTCTTAAGTTTTTTTTAATAGACTGCAGAATTTGGCAAACATGGCTACAACATAAGAGTATACATCTAGGCAGACCCAAATGAGAGCAAAAAAGTATTAATGAGAGGAAAGATCTGAATAAGAAAAATAGGGGTTTCTTTTGATCTCAAGTTTTTTCATGTGCAGCTATTTCTGGCTGCACAGCATAGACACAAGATGCCTATTTGACACTTCATAAAACTGACAGTAGAAATGCCAAGCTTATACTTTTTGGATTACAGAGAAAACACTAAATTGTGTTTTCTGAAAGTTTAAGGTGTCTAGGTAGGTTGAATACTAAGATACAGTCATTCAAACTCCAGTAAGAAAATTCAGCTTTTTTGCATATCAGGCTGTTGTGGCTTTAGCACTGCTCAAAAGATATCTGTCCTTTGGCACCATTAAGTCTACTTTTTGTGACTGTGTTCTTGCCTGGTTATTCTTGACTGTGCAGTGTATTCAGGCCTCGGCTGAGAAGGTTGGTCTTGATGTGCTGGTGTGGACTTGGGAGGGAAGGGCCTAATCAGAGTTTCCAATTAAATTATGAATTTAATTGGAAATTTTTTTAGGTCTCAAAGCATCAAGAAGTAGGATGCTTTTTTTTTTTTCACCACCCTAGGTAAATCAAGGACTTCTTAGACAATTTTGCTATGCACAATAACAGTCTCCTTATGGCAAGGACATTTGTATCCAGGGCCTCAGTGGTTTTGTGTATTCATTTTGCAAGGACGAACTCAGATAGTTCTTAGAGCCATAGGCAAGTGTTACTGAGACAAGAGGACTTCTGTTGAGGCGATCAAGATGAACCAAGATGAACCTTGATGAGTTCAGTGCAGGAGTTCCATACTGGATCAGTTGCTGCCCAGGATAATCAGGACTGCTATAGTCTTTGTGCCTCTGGGGTAACTATTGATATGTTGGCTATTATCACCAGACAATCCTCCTGTTTTCAGGTACATTGCTCTGTTGTGCCCCATCAAAGCCTATGTTGGTTTACCACTGGCTGCAACATATATTTGACTTGATTTCTTCTGGATAGACCCAGGGCAAAACCAAGGGTTAAACAACATAGGCAATGGGCTATGGATATTGGGACTCAGAACATGCTTACACTCAGTGGGAAGGAGCCAGTCCCCATTGAAGAGGCCAGTCAGCAATAACTAGATGTAATTGCCCTTGCATTGACCAAAAGGAAAGGCATGGGTTCCAGCACCTTAGACCATGAATGAACCCTCTAGGAGTACTCTTAACCAAACAATATTTGCCTAGGCAGAAGTGAGGATACTCATTAGTCCCTGCCTGTCTGATAGTGTGATTGAATGGAAACCAATGAATGAGCAAGTCTTTCCAATGCCTTTCATAGTGGGGTGCATCAGGGTATCGGCAACTGTCCAAGTCTATGGGCTAATCAATGATTCTGACTGATGCCTTCCACAAAAAGGTGGATGGGACCATATATATGATCCTAAATGCTGAACTAGTTTTTA